ACTGTAGTAGTACTGTAGTAGTAGTAGTAGTAGTAGTAGTAGTAGTAGTAGTAGTGGTAGTGGTAGTCGTAGTAGTAGTAGTAGTAGTAGTAGTAGTAGTAGTAGTAGTAGTAGTAGTAGTATGCTGGGAATTGGGAACCACTACCGTTGATAGTCATGTTGGTAATCTTGGTCATTTTGGTAGTTTTGATCATCTTGGTCGGGGGCAAGCTGACGCGTCATCCCGATAATCATTGTCGTTTTTGTAATGTTGACTTTCCAAGTATGTTTTGGGGTGGAAGCGGGGGGCGTCATCTTGGACCACTTGCACAAGTTGCTGACCATCTTTACCAAAAAACCACCACCACCACCACCACCACGACCCCCGGCACCACTTGTACCACCTGCTGACCAAGACTACCAATTTGACCAAGATTGCCACCCCTCCACAGCCCCCCGATCCCAAAATCCTGCGTTTAGGGTAGGGAAGGATAGGTTTTGGGGCGCGCATCGGTTTAGGGTCCAGGGCTTCAGGGTTGTAGGGTTTATGGGTTGATTGCTTTGATTAGGGTTAAGGGTTGCGCGCGCCCGATGCACGCATCGGTTCAGTGTTTAAAGCTCAATTTGCAGCAGCTCGGGTATGTACAAGTCCGTGCCCAAAAGGGGTTTGAGCTCCCGGGTGACGAGGCAAGCCCGCTGCAAAGGTTGTAGGGCTTATGGGTTTAGGCTTTCAATGGGTATTACGGTTTAGGGTTGCTCGCGCCCGGAGCGCGCATCGGCTCAGGGTTAGTAGGGTTTAGGGAGTTGGGGGTTTGGGTTTAGGGGCGCACCCGATGCACGCATCGGTTTAGTAAATTTACGAGTTTGGGTTTAAAGTTTAGGGTTCATGGCGTAGGGTTGAACGGTTTAGGGTTTTAGGGTTTAGTGTTATGCGCACCCAAAGCGTGCGTCGCTTCAGGGTTTATAGGGATTAGGGGCTGAATGCCACTACCACTGCCATTATCAACAACTACCACAATTACTACTATTACTATTACTACTGCTGCTGCTGCT